CTAGTACGTATATAACTGGTATCTACACTGATCTATCCTCTCTCTCTCTCTCTCTCTCTCTCTCATCATCAGATGAAATTTGCCTCTCGATCCCTCTTGTGCATGTGGATGTGTACTTGAAATTGGGAATTGCAGTTGTTGCGTCTAATCCTTGTTATACATTCTATTCTCTCTTCAAAGATTTTTAGGCCCCTCAACTACAATATGCTAAGTTTGAAAACCAAAATTAAGAAAAGAAAAAGGAGAGTTGTATATTGTGAATGTTACACGGGAAAAAAGAAAAAGTTATTACGGCCCGTGTACTTGGGCGTTTTTCAAATGATTTTACGCCTTGTTTTATACGCGAGCCTATAAAATAATGAGAGGAACACTATCGGCCTTGTCCCTCTTTTGAAAATATCTCTCTTTACTCATTAGTTGGTACTTTGTTCATTATTAATATGGGTAAAGTGCATTTCCAAAATTTGTCATGAGACCCGTGTCAAAAATTCTTAAGTTGATGCGAGAATTTAATTTTATCACTAACTATAAAATTTTAAACTTCAAAAATGGTTCAAATTAAATTGATTTATAAACGCACAAAAGTCTTGAAAATAGATGGCTCAAATAATGTATTGCGAGTTGAACTATTTTTAAGATTTAAAATCTCTCTCGTTTTTTTTTTCATGTCTATGCATCTCGATGACAAGATAATCAATTTGATGTTTTTTCAACATTAAAGCAACCTTTTTCGAAGGATTTTAAAGGTACACGTTAAGTTCTACCTTTTAAGGTGTCAATTTTATATAAACTTTTTCCTCGTATTTGATGATAACTTTTGCACATCTCCATTACAGAGTGGATACTCTTTTATCTCTTTACATCTACACCATCTATCATAAATCATACCATGATATCCACATCATTCATCACACAGTGGATACTCGATCCCTTCACATCTGCACCATCTATCATAAATCATCCCATGATATCTACATCATCCATTGTCAATGGACAATGCAAATCGTCCACTAACATTTGCACCATCTATTTACAATTGACATCGAGACTGCATCCAAAAATCAAAATTTGGGTCCGATCGGCACTGTCCGTTTTTAGGAGACACAGTCCCACCATCTGCATCTGTTGACACACCAAATAATTTATCCTACACAAAGATGACAAAACCAGATTTTCTTCTTTGGGTACTAATAAGTGAAACAAGACAGAAGAACCCTAACTTTGAGTGATGGCACCCCTATTGGTCAAGTTGTTGATCATTCCACCCTCTTAGTCAAGTTATTGATTTGAGTGAAGCCATTTCATGCTGGCCAACCAATTGATAATTCTAACCCATTCCATATGATTTTGAGCACCCAAATGATCACCCCCTATAGGCCGCAACGATGACTGTTATCAATACCAAAAGTACATTAGGTCAACACATTCTCTTCTATTGATATTCCTAGTTCACTAATCAAAATAATTCCCTCATTCACATCCATATTATTTTTAAGGATATTATAATTTCTAAAACTGATCAACTTTAGGTCTGAGACTAGCAACAATTCGATCAAAATATTACTTCTTCTGAAGCTTGATCTTAATCCGATGTTACTGCAAAGAGCTGCGCATGGCTACCCATACAAGCGGCAAGAACCTCAGGGATGAGATCCCAAAAATGACCACAAGTTCACCTGTCATACTTTTGTGACCAAAAATATGAAAAACAACTTTGCGAAGCACCAAGCTTTGTCGATGAAGATTTAATAAAATAACTTCCTGCACAACTCGTCAATTATTACGGAACCGTTGCATGAAATCACACCTATATAAATATAAAGATTGTATACAATGAGACCATTTACCTTTGATACAAAGTCGCAATTACTTATAAGATGTGAAATCTAATGATTTGGGTGTTACGAAGTTTGAAAAAAATTCTTTTGACGTTTAAGCTTAGTCAATGGATAAATGCAACTACCCAATTTAACATCCAATAGTCAAGATTGGCCATGACCACGTTGAACCAAAGACAAATGGTCTCATTGTATACCTTTCCATAAATATATACTCATCAGGTCAAGGACCTAAAGGGTCTGTAGACCTAAAATAGATGGATTTAGGAATTGGGCTTGAGCTTGACTGATTAGGAGTTAATATTTAGTAGTGTTACATCTCAAGTTTGAATCCTACAACTGAACTACGAAATAAAAAAATCGATGGGCTCGACAGTGCTGTGATGGAGAAAGAATGGACGCCCAACCAAACATTTGTATGTGCAAAAATGCATGTGCTTAAAATTCATAGACGAGTGCATACACCCATGGAGAGAGAAATTCTTATCTAAATAAATTCAAAAAGAAAGCAAAGCAAGCACCTTGGTCAAATATGAACACTCTACCCAAAACATAGCATAATTCTATAAACCAGTGTTTTAAAGCCCGGATTGTTTGCATGGATAGTCCACTGTACCGATTTGGCCGTCCAAATTGGTGATCCAGATTGGTTGAAGTTATCAAAAATAAAGTACACATTGAAACAGAAAGCTAGATGAATTTCATTTTATCCAAGACACCATTTGTGAAAGCACATTTAAGTACAAACACTGACCTTCATGAGATTATCGCGACCGCATTCATAACACGAATTACACAAAACATGGAGATTTTCTATTACATTGACAAAAGCTGATAATCAAAGTTAAGGATGCCCAAAAAGGAGAGAAACCACTCTGATGTTTATCTGTCCCATTCAACCTCTGAGGGGGGCAGTCTCACGATATTTGGGGAAGGCAGATTCTCTGGAGCAAGGCGCATCATTGGATTAGCAATTCGGTCCCATCCCATCAGGTGTGGCAGGATGAACTGTGTAAGGACCAGATGCTATTTGAATCCGATATAACAACCTCATAGATGCATGCACATATGCAAGAAAAGTATTACACACATGCACAAACATGTATGACTATGACACAAGCAAACATAAAAATGCACAAACGTACACAGGATACAGAAGCTTATTCAACACAAAATAGAAATCATGTGTGCATCCGTGTGTGTGTGAAGCAGATATAATTAAATAACTGATACTAAAAAGGTAAATATTTGGTAAAGATTCAACCAAAAGAATGTGCTGACCATATTTTTAAATTTATAGGAAGCTTAAACTATAAATGTCTCCATGCCGGCCTCAGATACCACATGTTATAAATATAACCATAATTCTTGGTGGAAATTAGGAAAACATCACCACATAAGAAGTAATCATCATCATAAGCTAGACGTCAACTAAGACAACAGTATCTTGTACAATGGCAGTCATTTAAGTATTAAATAAGTGTTAATGCCATGAATTATAGAGTTCAGTCATAATGATCATCGAACTGGTTGATATATAAATTGTTGAAAGGAAATGTTCTCCAAGCTTCTCTAAGATATTTACCTCCGTAAATGGACAATCAATTGTTTTGTAAGGTTTCTACCCATCATTTTTACTGCTCGGATTCATAGCTAAGTGGTAGAACATTTGAAACTTCCAAAAGAAAAGGACTAGTTAGATAAAGTAGCTGTAGGAACATCTTATCTGATAACATTAACCAAAGGAAAAAGTTTACATATAGCCAAGGCTCTAAACAATCAAATTAGAGCCCACCTCAAAAATTTTACTAGAAGAGGCTGTTTTGATGCTCAAATATCCTCAAATTGATCATCTCAACATCAAGATGCATGGACAAGAGAAAAAAAATGGATTTCAAGTTTTGGAAATAGTGCATCTTGTAATGCATTTTTGGACCGTCAATTTTCAAGATTTTCAAGTTTTGATCGATCTACACTATTTTTGAAGTTTTAAATTTTATAATTAAATATGAAAATATATTTTAAGGCCATCACAAAGATTTCTAGTATTGAAACCATATTTCTCGACACTATTTGAAGGTGAGCTTTACTTTGATTGTTTAAAGCCTCGGCTCTATACAAATCGCACCCTTAACCAAATGCCACTCATTTATACAAAGTCTGCCAACTCAAGTGTTCCAAAAGAAGCTCCATGAGTATAACAAGCCTCTCTCCCTACTCTAGTTTGGATCATATGGCAAGGAAGAAATCAAGGAAAAAAGGAAAATCCTCACCATACCTTTCAAGGGACAGCAAAAGGAGATGATATAGAAGATTCAAAGTAGCATATCGGAAGACAAGATAATACCCCCATAAATGAAACTCTGAAAGAGAACGGGAAATATATGAAAGAAGAGAAACAGAAATCCAATTGATCTTACATGAGATAGAGCATTTCTAGTAAGGTCTAAATGCATATAGAGAGATAAGGAGAAACTTGTAGTAGGGATCTTGGTAAATATTGTATCACATAAGGGTCTACCTCATCTCTTGTAAATTTCCCCATATTAACACAATGGGTGGAGTACCTACACAAACCCCTTCTTACATTGTGAAAAAAGTAATTTCTATAATACATTATTTCAGATGATCCTTGACAATTATAATTGTTTTCTGATTTTTTTTCTTTCTTTTTTTGCAGTTCAGAAATAGTATTTGAACTCAGGGTGTCAGAACTAATCCAATAAAATGATATCAAATGATATGAAGTCCAAATTTAAGAAAATTATCTTTTCTAATCCATTAGAAAAGATATTGCCAAATCAGCAAGGGGGGTTTTGAAGTCAGCAATCATTGCTTTAGTAGATATAGACTCATAAGATATCCAAGTCTATGTCAAGTATTTTGATAGAGGGATTGTATACAATGAGATCATTTACCTTTAATACAAGAAGATCACAATTACTTACAACCAGTGTTCTTTTCATTTCCATTGCCTTTTAGTTTTCTATGCTTATGCTCAGAAGATCTATAATTACTATAGTCACAGAACAGGCATAGTTAATCTATTTCAAAATATGTGCTTTAGATGCCACTTTCAATAATTAGGTTATTGGATTTTCTGCTTGAACCAGAGATGAACGTTGGATTGTCACTCAAAATGTTGCAAAGCTCGTGTTCAGTTTCTTTGTCGCACTTAAAGCTGGACCAGCTTCAGCATGGGAAGATACTAATCTATAGAGATTTAAAATAAGTAATGTAGTTCCCTAATGATATGAAAACTTTACGTATTTTCGATCTTGTATTTTATTAGGATGTGGTTTGTATAAGGCTGAGGGCCTAAACAATCAAAGTAAGGTGCACCGTCAAATAGTATCGAAAGATGTCGTTTCAATACCAAAGATCTTTATAATGGCCTAAAAATTTATTTTCACCTCTAATTATAGAATTTAGAGCTTCAAAAATAGTTTAGATAAAGCATATCTATGAACACTTGAAAATATTAAAAATCGACAGCCTAGATAATGCATTCAAAAATGCACTATTTCCAAGACTTTTGAAGTCCTTTTTTTTTATATCCATGTATCTCAAGATAAAGATGATCGGATTTGAGGGGGCATTGAAACAACTTCTAGTAAATTTATGAGGTGCGCCTTAGTTTGATTGTTTAGGGCCTCAACTGTAGATAAACTTTTTCCGTTTTATTAAGATGATTTTTAGTACAGGGAATGTTATATCTAGCAACATGTTTTCTTGATTGAAGGGGATCTTTTGATGGGGATTGATTGATGCTTCTGATCAACATGTGTCTGTATAAGCTTGGACCATATAGGAGTTGTTATAAGCTTCAAACCTAGTGAAACACTCTATATCTATGTTACTCAAGACACAGTAATGCACAACACAATACCAAAGCTGATGTATAACCTACTAAATATAGAATTAAGTCATAGAGTTCATTAATCAAACAACTTTATATATACTGTTTTTACTGCCCTAGCACTGGCTCTATTAGTGATTCATTTTGTACCCATGATTTTTATAGACGGCAACTATATAAAAAAAGGCATCTAACCAGGTTCATTTTTTACTGCCATAGCACTGGCTCTCTCTGATCTAAGGATCTTTCCCAAGGCTATATTCTCTCAAGAGCTTCTAGTTGTGGGTGGTGTTACCAAACTAGTAAGGTTGTATTGACCAAAGCTTCTTCTACTAAGGTGATTATGTATAATTCCAGGGAAATTATTTTTATTTCTGTTGTTATTTGATGAACAAAAGGAATATTTTGGTCACTATTATATGCTTCCACTGTTTTTATAGCTCTTTTACTTGAGTTTTTTCTTTTCTTAAGCTATGTAGTTGCCTTATTCAATGTAATATAAGAGAAGGGTAGAGTTAATTGAATTTGAAGAAGTTAAAATAGTACATGTTGATTGAAGGTTACTTTATCTATGTATATTCTAAGATGCATCATGCATGTATACTGTAAGTTGACTCCATGTGGATTAACATATATATATATATATATATATAGGAAAAAATTTATATAAGGATGCTACCTTATAATGTAGAATTATGGATGTCCCTCAAAAATGCATCGGAACAGGTAGTTTTAATGTTGAAAAGCCCTTTGATTGATCATCTCGACATCGAGATGTATGACTATGAAAAATAAAAAGGTTTTAAGTCTCAAAAATAGTGCATTTTACAACATATAATCTACACTGTCCATTTTCAAGATTTTCATACGTTTATAGATCTACTTGATTTTAACCATTTTTTAAATTTAAAATTTTATAATTAGATAAAAAAATTGATTTTGAGATAATCCTAAGAACATTTTACATCAAAATTATATACCATGCTAAATTTGAAGGTGAACTTTACCTCTACACCTACGGATGCATCCGTATGCAAACTGCACCCACATATAAATGCACTCGCATATATATATGGAAAAATCTTAAAAACGCTTATAGGCGAATTGCTACCGTGTTTTTCCGCCGTCTTTGCCTAAAACCGCCACAGACCTACGGGAGCCGTGGCGGTTCCCCAATATATTTTGCATCAAATTTGCGTGAAAAAACTCCCGCCACGGACATGCTATGTCTGTGATGATCTTTAATCCACGCCGTCCAAAAAAAAATCAGACGGCGCCAAGCCTATGGGCGAAAATACTGTTCATTTTCGCCCATAGGTATT